TGGAGGCTAAAACATAAAAGGAACGGTTGCTGGAATTGGGTATGTCTAGTTTAACGAAGAGAAGGATGAGGGGCCTCTTCCAGTTCCAGATCACGGCATACGCGGTCGCGCGGAGAGACTTGTTTCTTCGCTGGCCGTTTTCCCTCTGCCAGTAGACCCTTAATCGGGTCGAAAAGTCACCCTGGAGGGGCGACCACTGTCGAGGAGGCCCTCGTCTGACTGCGGAAGGGCGGCAGCTCCTTCCGTGGTCCGAGCCAGCTCCTTAGGGCCGACAGAGACCCGACAGAGAAAAGATTGACCAGTAAAATGGCCGATCACTCAGCTGCACTAGCCGAAAGTCAGAAGAACAGCTAAGCATAAAGAACCACTGTGGAGAATCTGGGTGAGACCTTTCCTTCCCTCTCTTTGCCCTAACTACTCTCCTGTAAAAAGCTTTTGAACTACTTCCCTGCTTTAAGAGAGCAGCGCTTGTGTATTTGGGAAAAAGAGCTCTGGAAACCAAAGAAATAAAACAGCTAATTTTTTTATTGACTATTTTATTTTTGGGATACTTAGGGGTCCTGAAAAAATTTCTATCATTGAACATTATTATTATTCTACTTATTATGCTGGAGATATCTGTTTTTCTTTTTCTATTTCTCTAATGAGATAAAATTTTATTAACTTGGGAAAAAGATTTTACAGTTTACTGAGGACATCTTGTGGCAAAAATTGTTATTGCAACTGTATTTCCTTTTGCTGTTTGAAGATGGATTTGACCTTCAAATGATAATAAAAGGGAAAAGATAAAGGACTTGAAACAGCTGGGTGGTGAATTTGTCTATTAGAAATTGAAGGTGGATATTTGTTGACTCTTACTAAATATAGCCTCCACTAAAAGATTAAAAGATTTTTTCAGAACAGGGAGTCAGAAGAGAGGGGGTTTGCCATGGAGGTGGCTCCTGACTTTGGCACCTCGGCCACATACACGGGGGACTGGGATGACTAGGGCACTTCTGCAATGCAGGCCACTTCTGATGCTGGTTGTGGGCTCGAGGGACAATGTTCCCAAGAGGAGTCCATTGTGGACTTGGAGAATTCTACTCCACCATTGGGCTTGGGGATTTCCACCCCTCCGGAGAAACCTGGCTGGGAGTCAGAGGATCCAGCCAGTCAGCTGCGGAGTGGGCCACCTGAAATTCTAGGGCATCAAAGTCCTGGTCTATCGAGCCCACCAGATGGGCCGGTAGGCCAGGCACCATTAAGAAGAAGTCCTGGTCTGCCTAGCCTGGCAGGTGAGCTGGCAGACCAGGCACCCTCCCTGACCCTGCAAAGGTCACAAAGGTCTAAGGGCCCTCCCAAGCATCTGGGAGACTATGTGAGGTTTCTGTCATTGCAGAGGGAGCCTTGCTAGTCTGTAACAGGATGATATTGACTAACACCTGGTATAGCGTAATATATACCATTTATGATTTTGGAGAGCGTTTGTTTAAGTTAAACCCATTATTTTATAAAAGTACTCTGCCTGTGTGCAGGCCAGAATAATTCCACTATTCCCGGCCCTGGAACAAATGTATTGTGTGTATAGTTATGTGTGCTTTATCCAGGGGGGAAGGGTGTTGTGTCGTGGCCTGCTGAGGCAATTCAGCAGGCCCAGAAATGTTGCAAATGATCCCGGGCAACTTAAAAGCTGCCCGGGACCAGACTGGTTGGCGCCGGTCTTGCGCGCATGCGCAAGGCGCGAAAAAAGGTGTTTGTGATTGGATGGGTTTGGGAGACTATAAAAGGCCTGCGCGCCTGTTTGTTGAGTGAGTGGTACATGGGAACGAATAAAAAAAGAACTTGGTTAACAACTGGTGTCTCGCTTCAATGCCGCGAACCCCAATATGTAAAAAATATCATTCATCAAATGATGTGATAAAACTTCTTTCATTCCAATATATATGGAAGCTATGATTTCTCCTTGTGATGATTTTTATAATTAGATGTTTGCACACAGATAGTGTTAATTGTTCAGGGATCCCACCAGATCATAATATGTAACATCAAAACAATAATTAGCTGATTTCTGAAAGCACAAAGAGCACAAAAAAAACCCCCAAAACCCTCACTGCATCCAAATTGTCTCATCTCAGTCACTGTTAAATAAGTTCAAGGTCAGGTGCAGAAAATAGATAGCTGTGAAGATTTTGCCCAGGGCGGAAAGCTGTGGTGCCATTAATATTTCACCAGAGATCCTACTAGTTTTGTGCAATGTAATTAAACTTTCTTTATTGATTGTGTTGGAATTCTGGGTACACACTTGCAGCTTTTCCTGGCTTTTAATATCTTTCCCTTCTCTCAAATTAATTTCTTTTTATAGAAATATGACTACTATTTAAAATGAAAAATTTCATTAAAGCCTTCCTCATATGCCAGACTGCATAGTAACATGATGTTCGTAGGGCTACCCCCATCTGTGCTGCAAAATGAGATGACCCCACAGGTAGCAGGAAAGAGGCAGATTCCTGTAGAGTTTAGCTTCCATATTGTCTTCTGGATTTTTGCAGCCCAGATACTGCAGCCCTGTCAGGAGAGCTGGAGAATCCAAAGAGGCAGCTTTAAGTCAGGTTCAGGCAATGCAGCCCCTGCATAGGCTTCGGTTTTGCTCTTTCCATAAGCATCTGGGTCAGCATCGTTTTTTTATGACAGACGAGAAAAGAGGGTTGCCTGCTACAGGGGTGAATCTCTGTAGTTGTTAAGCTAGTAACAGGGTTGTTAAGAGAATCTGGCTTCTTTGTTGACTTTGCTTGTCGGAAGTTCGCAAAAGGTGATCACATGACCAGGGGACACTGCAACTGTTACAAATATGAGTCGGTTGCCAATCATCCAGATTTTGATCATGTGACCATGGGGATGCTACAATGGTCCTAAGTGTGAAAAATGGTCATAAATCACTTTTTTCAGTGCCGCTGTAACTTCGAACATTCACTAAATGACCTGTTGAAAGCTGAGGACTGCCTGTATATCGGCAAGGGCTTGTATATTACATTTTGTGTGACCCAGCTCTGATAGAGGTAGAAAGTCGCAAAAGAATGTAATCCCCCATTGTGTTATTAGCTGCCTGGAGTTATTTGTTTAGCTGCCATCTTGACTTATTCGACACCCTCTCTGTGTTTATCCTAGTGGTGGGATTCAGCCAGTTTGTACCACTTTGGCAGAACTGGTAGCTAATTTTTTGTTGCCCAGGCCCAGAATGGACTTCTGGAAGCGGCATCNTGAAGTCTTCCAGAAGTGTTTTATCATTGCCATAAACCCCAAGGGAATGCATTTAATAATTTGGCAATTTAATATTCTATTTACAAAATAGTTTTATAATTAGATGGGATAGTTTTAAGTATTTTTGTTAAAAAAATTAATATTCTAGTAGTTGTGTTTACAGTGTATTTAGTTTGTTCCATTTTATTTCTTCTAGTTTATTTAGAGATTTTAAATACTGTTTTGCCCAAACAGTGTAATCCTGTAGCATCAATAACAGTAGACACTTCTAGGCAGTGATCACAGTGAAGGAGTCAGTCCGTTCATTTTGTAACTGGGCCTAATCCAAAGTATTTTGCTCCCAGGTTCGATCTATGTTATGATAAATTTAAACAGGCAATTCAGTGGGAACGCCTTTTTCTGACAGGAGAAGCAGACAATATGCCAAATAGACAGAGCTTCATTTCTTCATATGATTTTTTTTGGTGGAGATACAAATAAGACCAGGCTTTGCAGGTTAGCATTGACATTTTGATATGGAATTACCTTTACAACTTTTCAGATATTGTATATGAGCTGCTGGGGGGCCGAATGGGATTACGTTGGAAGGGAAGGGTTAATTGCCTAAAGGCAGTATAGAAATACTTTAGCTTATTTGTTTTCTATTTGCAGATCTTTAATGGGAGAAAGAGAAATTACAGAATAAGCTGTTCAAGCAGTAGATTAGATATGATGAAGGACAATGGAGGAAGGAAAAGGAAGAAAAAAATAAATAAAGAGAGGCTGAAGTGGCGTTAGCTGTAGGCAGAGCAACTTTTGCTGCAGAATGATTAGGCATGAAGGTGGGGATTAAAACGGTCTTCTTTGTTTTGAACTGCAGCAGCAACAGGATTTTCTCCCAGCTGGAGTAGAAGTGAAAAGAAATACTGTGCAGGGCAGTATTTTTGTAGAGAGAAAAGAAACTTCATTAAGGTGAGTTTCTATTATACAGAAGAAAATTGTCCGTGGAATAAGGTAACTTGAAAATATTTTAGGATGGAGTGAAAGCAGTCCATCTAGCAATGCCTTTTCAAATTCAGTGTTTGTTCCTTTTCTCTTTTAATACTTTAACTGAAATTTTTAATCTCCATAGTAAAAAAACTAATACAAACTAAACTGGAAAGAAAAAGTTCAGAAGCTGTAGAAAAAAGAAAAACAATCAAAAAATGAAATAAAAATAGAGAAATAAAGAAACAACAAAGACAGTAAGAAATAAGTAACTTCCCACCTTCATCACGCTGAACATAAGCTAATATAACCTTTCAACCTCTTTTAAAGTTAAAATGCTTTTATCCCCATAATCTAACTTTTATTTAGGTCCAGAAATTGACCTATTTTCAATCCTGTTTCAGCAAAAACTCCATTAGGAATGGCTAGAAATATCAAATTTATTCCTGATCCAATTCTGCAACTTTATATTCCTTCTTTGCTTTTCTTAATCTTAGAAACATAGAAGAATATTGACCTTTAAATCATTCCAACGGCATCTCAGTATTTGACCTTTCATGAATGTTTGGCATTTAAGAGGGGTCTTTAAAATTTATCCACTGAAATCTCTATGTTTTCTGAAATTTTAGTTAATTAACATTTCATTCAATTAAAAAAAAACAACCTATTTAAAATAAGAAAAGGTTATAGCCAGCTTTTAATTCTATTCTGCCTTTGGTTCCCTCTAGTGTCCATTTTCAATATTCATCTAGCCTCCGTTCCTAATATAGATTGTGACTCAAGACAGCTCAAAAAGAACAAAAAACAGACACTCCCAAACAATCAATATAATTAAAAAACAAAAGCCTTAAAATGCTATTAAAATAATCAAAACTAATAAAAACAGCAGCAAATACAGGAGAGCACATTCTGAGCTTACACATAGGACAGCCATTTAACCCTTCCATTAGAAGCAAGAAATTAGATGATGGGATTTATCAGATGAAATATCTAAAGACTAAACACTTGTTTGAATATGGTTAAAGAAATAGAAAAATTCTGGAGGGGAGGGGCCCCTCAAGTAACATAGTATTTTTTTTATGATATGAGAAATATAAAAATGTGGGAATGGTTTATATGAGGGAAATGTCTTAGATATTTAAATATAATGCATTTTGAGAAAATCTCAGTTGATAAGAATGTTTTGAATAGATTCAAAAGATTAGATGATTGGACTTATTAGATGGAATATTTAAAGATTAAACATTGGTATGAAGATGGCTAAAAAGAACAGAAAAATTCTGGATATAAATGTATTTTAGTTTAAGAGGAGTATGTTTCTTAAGTAGTATAGTATTTCCTTTTTTTCTCTTTTCTTTCTTTTTTCTTTTCTTTTTCTTTTTCTACTCTTCTTTTTTGTTCTTTTTTAAGATACGGAAAATGTAAAATTGATGGGATGGCTTGTATGAGGAAAAAGACTTAAATACTTAAGTGTATTAACTTTGAGAAAATTTTAATGATAAGAATGTATTGAACATTGAGGTGAAAACAAATCTAAATATGAATTTTGAAAACAAGATTTATGATGAGGTAATTAAGATGATTAATTAGAAAAGAAGCTTTATAATAATGTTGTGGTTACTTGTAGAAATACTAGAAAAATGTTTATATTTAATTTTTATCTATCAAAATACTAAGAAGTGTACTAATTTAAGGTTGGCAAAAGAGAACATCATTGGAAGAAGAGAAAATCAAGGAAAACTACTATGTGGATTATGGAATTATAGAAATTAATTATTATTGATTGTTTTTAAATATAAACCCAGACGACACAATGTTTACCAAATATTAAGGTGACTATGTTAAAAAAATTAATAAAATATATTAAAAAAATACATCAAACAACCGAAGGATCAAAGCATAACCTTGTCTTACTCCCAGTTTAATGTTGCATTATTTGCTAAGAATTCCCTTTATTCTCATGCATGCCTTGCTTCCATTCTATATCACTTTTACCCAGGGCTTTTTTTGTCATAGAACGCCCAGAACGGAGTTCCGGCACCTTTTCTGGATGGAACCTTGTAGGGTAGGCAAGGCAGGTTGTATGATGTGTGTAAGTTCCGGCACCTTTTTTTTTTTTTTTTAGAAAAAAAGCACTGCTTTTACCACATCCAGTAACCCATATTCAGCTCCATATTTATGTAAAGTATTGCGTAATTCAAGACTATTCACTTTATCTATATTTTTTCCAAAACAACAATTGCACAGTACATTTTCTGAGATTTATACATTGAAGAACAGAAATAAGATCTGTGCCCCACTGCCAGGCATAAAACCTTTCCTTTCCCAAATTTTCCTCATTGTCATTGTCATCCCTGAAACATGATAGCACTGTTCCAATATTTGAGGGGCTCCTACAAAGATGAGGGGGTCAAACTATTTCCCAAAGCACCATAAGGCAAGACGAGAAACAATGGATGGAAACTAACCAAGGAGAGAAGCAACGTAGAACTAAGGAGAAATTTCCTAACGGTGAGAGCAATCAACCAATGGAATAGCTTGCCTTCAGAAGTCGTGGGTGCTCCATCGCTGGAGGCTTTCAAAAAGAGACTAGTCAGCCATTTGTCTGAAATAGTATAGGGCCTCCTGCTTGAGCAAGGGGTTGGATTAGAAGACCTCCAAGGTCCCTTCCAACTCAATTATTCTATGTTCTGTGAAACCCTTTCAATCAGAAATGTTATCAAATTCTTTCCCAGGCACATTAAACAAACTAACTCCCTTGCAGTCTGCATTTACTTGTGAGATTTCCATCTCTATGGAGAATGTATTCTTCCCATTGTGAAGAATAGACACCTTTCTCACACACACACCTTAAACAAGTTGCTTTGTCAATCTATAAACAGACCACACCCATATTTTAACATGTCCCTAGGGATGCTATCTATCTATGCAGCTGAATTCTCACGAGATTTATGACTTCATTTTATACATTTTATACATTATACATTGTATACATTTTATTAGAAATAAATTTAGTAACTGATTATATTAAATGCATTTATATTTTATCTTGCAATTCATCAGGAAATCCAAAACTTGCAAAATATGTCTGGGAAACCCAAATTGACCTATTTCAACGGCAGAGGACTAATGGAATCCGTACGCTGGCTCTTAGCAGCAGCTGGAGTTGAGGTTTGTTTCTTCTATTTTTGTCAGCCCTGTAAGGTAGGCCAGACTAAGAAACCAAAGCCATATAGATCAGGACTACTTTCATTCTTAGGGTATCAGGGTTCAAAATCCAAGAAAGACATGTGATTTTTCTAAGCAGATTTTTTTTTATTCTTCCTTACCCATAGACAGATTCTTGACAAACTAAAGCATGGCAACACCCCCTCCCAAAAGGCATATACTCTGGAACTATTGGGAGAAATCCCTTTTAACCCTCTTTCCCTCACACAAACCATCTGAACTGAATTGTTACTTGTTGCTCTGGAATGCACCTCCTCCCTCCTAGGAATCCAGAGTACATCCCCATCACAAATAGCTATAGTAATTGAAACTTGCAAGTCTGAATATGCTTCCTCTTCCCTCACTTCATCTTTGTGTGAAGTAGGGCAAGAACTCAGACATTAACTCAGATTGGTTTTTTGGAACAGGCTCAAACCCTGCTTATTTAACTGCTGCCCTGGTAGCAGCTCTTTCCCCACCCTTCAAAGCCATTATCTCTTCCCTCCACAGTGAAGAAAGGTGAAATTGGGGCCTTTTTTTGCCTTGAGATTTGATCTAAAGTTTTCTCAATTGACCACTCACATGGGATCATTCTGGGGATGGGTAAAAGACTGAAGTATCCTGCCAGCACACACACACAGCCGTTCTTTTTTCCTTTTGTTCTTATAGCAAGTACCAAATCTAGATCACAAAGGTGTGGCTGAATCTAGGTGGGAGCAAAAGGTTTCCTCTATCTTTTTGCTGCCATCCAGTGGTCATTGTTAGTTTTGCAGCTTAGATCTGATAGCCCTACTCAAGGGTAGGCAGAGGCCAAATCTTTCCCCTGATTTGGGTCAAAGGAGTGGAGGTTAAGGAAGGAGTTAAGAGATGAAATGCAAGAGTTAACTTTTCCCCCTTGAACCAACTTTTCTCATTTGGGGGATTATGAAGCCCCCAAAGGTATTTTAAGCCGAGTTTTCAAAATTGTGTACCCTGTGATACAAAGTTAAAGCAGTTTTTTCCCCCTTTTTCCAGTTTGAAGAAGTATTTTTGGAAACAAGAGAACAGTATTTGAAATTACGTGACGGTAAATACAGCAACTATTCTTTAGCTATGATCACTGAAATAAGTTTGTTATACTATTCAGCTCAGAACTGTAATAATTGGAAGTTTTTGCTTTGATTTAGTGATATGCTAATAATAAACAAGGCTATACTTGAAAGAGATTGATTAATTAATTCAAACTTTTCAGTAGTTTTTTTTTTTAAGAACTGTTGCTTCTTCCAACTCATTTAAGGACATGGTTTATTTGTTTATTTGTTTTACTACTGATAACTGAAGAGGTGACTTGGGGACTTGCCCTTGAATGAGATCGGGATGACTGCGGAGACTCGGGAGGCGAGAGGGAATAAAAAAAGTTCAAGATGAAAGCTACACAATTTAAGCCCTACTTATTTTTTACATGTGTTGCAGTGTGGTGGAGCATTGATCATTCATTTATTCATTCATTTATTCATTTGTTCGTTCGTTTGTTCATTCATTCAAAACATTTATATAGCCACTCATCTTCCAACAAATTCTGGGTGCCCCCAATTAAAAGTTAAAACAACATATAAAATCATATTGAAACTCTAAAACTAAACATATTAAAGCATAAAAACCATTAAAAACAACAAAGACTTGGTGCCAAGTCGAACTTCTAATGTGAAATTATTCAAGCTTCTCCCAGCACTTGGAGGAAAAACTTTATGGGAGGGTAAGAGGGTGGAGGCCTGCCAAACTTCAGGAAAAAGAAGGTTTCAGAGGGCAGAGGCTGCCATAGAAAACCATGAGGTCATTGCTGCCTTTTGGGCTTTTTGCTCCCCGCCCCCTGTGCACTCATGGATCCTTTGAGTGGGGTAGAAAAAGAAAGGAAAATAGGAGGCTTAGTGAGCGGGAACCAAAACCATTGCCAAGAAGGAAGAGGATGGAAAATATACAAAGACAGGACTTTTTTGAGCTGCATTCATCCTAAATTAATGTGAATTTGTTTTCTACCTTCCTCCAGTAAACACACTACTGTCCATCATTAACTATATCTACAGTTTGACAGTGTTACCAACATCTCTGCAATCCCAACTACCAAGAAATAAAATATCACTGCTGGGGGTTAGTATTGTCAAAATGTGTACTTTTTACAGTGCCAAAATGATTTCCAAAGATTCCTTTGAGAAGGAGTCAAAACAAACATTGTAACTTTGAACAGTCGCTAAACAAACTGTTGTAAGTCGAGGACTACTGGATACAGTATGGTTTTACCAATACAGTTAGAGAATAGCAGAGAGAGAGAGATGCTATCCCGTGAAGGAAGGGCACATTCCAAAATCTGCAGCTGTCACCATCAGGGACTACCTCGTGGAATCATTGTTGCTCTTCTCCTCTCTCTGTCCACCGTGAGAAAAGTCATCTCCAACAGATACAACGGAGTGTAGTGTTTGTTTATCTGTGGTCTACATGAAAAGACAAGTCATTTGCGTTCACATGTTGTATAATGAGCGGCCTGCTGCAACCTGCATTCTCCTCAGTTTGACTTTGTGAGCCACATCAAGAAGCAGAATGGTGAAGTTGCCCCCGAGAAGCAGGTCTTGGGAACTGGCAGCAAAGGATTGGCAGAAAAAAGTGGTGATTTTCCAAGGTAGTCGCTAGCCAGGACATGCAGTGGAGAAATCTGTGCCAAGAGTGCAATTTGCTATGTATCTGGAGCAGGTGGAGGTTTCATTTCAATCAGCTGCTAAAATCAAGGATGTTGGACATGTCTCATCATGTCCAAACATCAGATAATGCAATGGAAGAGAATATTTGTAGCTCAGGGGTGAAATGTGGAATTTTTGGTGCCCTCTGAGGACTCCCCGCTCCAGATAATAGTTTGTGGGTCCTGCATCATGCAGCTTTCTTAACCAATTGTAAAGCTTCCCTCCCTCCCATCCAGTTATTCAGAAGGAAATGTGAATCAGGGATAAAGGGCAAGCACGCATCAGTTCACTGCTTCTTTACAATAAACGAGGATAAGGTGGGGAACGTGGGCGTGGCACTTTACTGGTAAATTAGGTTGAACATGTTTTACCTGTAGAAATTTGAATATGAGTGAAATTTGAGAAATAGGTGAGCAGATGATCTGTGCAAGGTGTTTGTTGTGCACATGGCTGACTTCTTAGCAACCAAATCTCATGCTTTATGCAATTTTATAATAGAAATAGAAATCTGTTTGTGGGGATATGTGTGCATTGTTGTATAGAACAGGGGTCCCCAACCCCCGGTACGTGGACCGGTACCGGGCTGCAGCATGCAGAAAGGGCTAGAGTAAATATTCCTAATAACAGGTACTATTCTCTTTTTTTGAGCTTGGCGGAATCTACTTTTAAATCTGCAGCAACATTTGGGATGCAGTTTTTGTTTCATTTTGCATAAAGAGCTATTATATTTGCTAGTTGATTAAATTTAGTCAGGAAGGTAGGTCATATGCTAGCATCCATCTAGCATATTGTCTCTGTAAAATTACTCTACTGCAACCTAGACCTGGTCAGTGATGCTGTGTTTTCCTTTCTTTTCTCTTCTCCCCTTTCCTACAGGTGGATGCTTGCTGTTCGATCAAGTCCCCCTGGTGGAGATGGATGGGCTAAAGTTGGTCCAGACCAAGGCTATTCTCAATTACATTGCAGGGAAATATAATCTCCTTGGGAAGGATCTGAAAGAACGAGCACAGTACAGTATTGTGATTCATCATCTTAGACTTGATTCAAAGTCTCTGCTCCAATATTACAATATTACTAAATTTACTATTTATTATTTGTTATTTATTCTACTAGCAATTTTTTAAAAAAAGACTCAATGTATCATACAGCCAATTAAATGTCCACAGTAAACACCGTTTAAATCCGAATGGTAAATAATATAATATCATAATAATAATAACTAAATAAATCACGTGGCCAAAGCGCAAGACAAAGATAGCCAGAGCAACAGCTGAAAAAGAGCACTGCCTGGTACTAGCAGAAGTTTCTCCTGGGAAGAATGTGCCAGATGGGCCAATTCAGAGAGATCCGTATGAATCATGAAGGGGATCAAGAGTCAAACCAGGATTTTGAATTTCATGTGGAAATCTAATGGCAGCAATGGAGTTACCAAATCACGGGTGTAATCTGCTCTTGATGAATAATGTTGGCCAATAATCAGACTAAGGCATTTTGTACAAAGTACAGCTGATGTGCGATTTTTCAGAGCATCCCCCACATGCAATGAATTGCGGTAGTCTAGTCGGAAAATGATGAGCTGCCATTGCAATTTTTTTGTGATCCAGGTAGGGCTGTAACTGTCGTACCAGCCAATGAATCCAAGACAAGTGTTAAATCCCACCTCACGCTTCATGGACACCTCCCCATCCCTCCCTCCCCATAAAAAGGTGCATTTTGAAAAACTAGTAGGTTAAATGCCAAGTTATAACATTATGTGTATTTTGGCTTTCTACCTCAAGCCACTTGTACAGCATGCTTTTTTACAAGGATGTCACCTTTGACTTCTTGCATAATTTGGCCGTCTGATTCTATCCATTGGAGCCGCTAACTTTTTTTAAAAAAACCTTTGCCATTACCTTTGACCTTTCACAGGGGAGCCAAGCTTTTTCAAAAGAGAATAAATCAATTACCTTCCATGGTAAAAGAGCAATTTACTATTCTGGACTGCTATCCAGCAACCTGACTAACAAAAGAAAGATCAAAATCAATTTTAGAGAATCTTTAATTTTATCTGCAGTACAGCTCTTTTGTCTTTCCTTGCAGAATATAATACACATTTTCTCTTTCTTTGCTACAAGCAAACTCCACAATCGCATTCAAGACTTGTTCTGAATGTCCTCATTTTGGTCTGATTGCCAATATCAATATTGGCTTTGCCTGTCTGATCCTGCCCTTGTCTTGCTGACAATCTATGGCTATGGGGTTTTGTGTGTGTGTGTGTGTGTGTGTGTGTGTGTGTGTGTGTGTGCGTGTGTGTGGAAATGAGACCAGAGGTAACAATACCAGCTCTGGGCACAATCACACAAGCAACAGAGTCAAGGTGGAACTGGAATGGTCTGGTTTGCAGCTTTTCTGCTAACAAATGAAATAATTGCGAAAGGGGACAGAATTCTATCTTCACAATTAATTCCTTTGTCCATAGAATTTAGGGAGCAACGGTTATGCTGGCATAGAAAATTTCGGAGCAGGAAATGTTACACTTTTGGGATTTTAGAAAATGTCCTGGTTGGGGAACACTGTGCCATAGTATAGAACATGTGATATGTATCCTGTAATTTTATTATTTTTTCAAATAATTTTACTGGAAGTTTGAATAAAACAATAAAAGACATTAGAGGCTAAGATAAAGAAAAAAATGATAAAAATGTTTAAAGAGAATAGAAAGCCCTCCTGCCCTTGGAAAATGATTCCTGAACCCCTTTGTGATGAGTTAAAAACAACTCCCTAATCTCTTCACCTCTTCTTGGGTAACAAATATAAAACTCTTCATCCCATAACCCTTTTGTTAACAATAGACAAATCGAATAAGTAACATCTTCTTTGGCTCACTTGCTGACAATCTATGGCTATGGATTGCTACAAGCAAACTCCACAATTACATTCAAGACTTGTTCTGAATGTCCTCATTTTGTTCTGATTGCCAATATCAATATTGGCTTTGCCTGTCTGATCCTGCCCTTGTCTTGCTGACAATCCATGACTCAGGGTTTTTTTTTGTATGTGTGTGTGTCGAAATGAGACTAGAGGTAACAATACCAGCTTTGGACACAATCACACAAGCAACCGAGTCAAAGTGGAACTGGAATGGTCTGGTTTTGCAGCTTTTCTGCTAACAAATGAAATAATTGCGAAAGGGGACAAAATTCAGTCTTCACAGTTTATTACTTTGTTCATAGAATTTCAGAAGCAATGGTTATGCTGGCTTGGAAAATCTAGGAGCAGATTATACTTTTGGGATTCTGGAAAATCCTGGTTGGGGAACATTGTGCCGTAGCATAGAAGATGTGATATGTATCCTGTAATTTTATTATTTTTTCAAATAATTTTACTGGAGGTTTGAATCAAACAATTAAAGATATTAGAGACTAAGAGAAAGGGAAAAAAATGATTAAAAAATGTTTAAAGAGAAAGCCCTTAGAAAATGACTCCTGAATCCCTTTGTGATGAGTAAAAACAACTCCCTAATCTCTTCACCTCTTCTTGGGTAACAATATAAAACTCTTCATCCCATAACAATAGGAAAATCGAATAAGTAACATCTTATTTGGCTCACTTATCAGCCATACGGAGCTCTAAGATTTTACCATTAACTGACATATATAAAACTCAGCATTCCACTTTCACCTTTTAGCTGTAACAAAATCCCATTTAAAAGTCACTAGAAGGTCCCAACATCCTAATACAAACAAAATGTTAAACCCCAGTTTAACATGACAAAAAGGGGCCATTTCCCCCTTTATAAAAGACAAACCAATACACAACATCTTATTTTCAGATACACATTTCCTACCTCCATTCTCTAAGCACAACCACAGTTCACGATCCCAGCATCCCAATACAGACAAAAAATAAATAACAATAGCACTTAGACGTATATACCACTTTACAGTGCTTTACAGCCCTCTCTAAGCAGTTTACAGAGTCAGCATATTGTCCCAAACAATCTGGGTCCTCATTTTACCGACCTCGGAAAGATGTAAGGCTGAGTCAACCTTGAGCTTGTCAGGATCGAACTCCTGGCTGTGGGAATGCAGAGTTAGCCTGCAATACTGCATTCTAACCATTGTGCAATCACGGTTCCTTACAATATAGCAAAAAGAAATAATTTTCCTTTAAAAAATATAATCTCAACTTAAGCTAAAGATAAACAGTAAACTTTAGAACTAGTTTAAGTATTAAACATTATAATTACATAAAATAGCTATTAGGAGGAAGCTTTTCCATCCTACCCATTCTAGGCAAATCCAATGAAATATCAATAATCTAGAATCACTCAGAGTAACAATGTAATTTATTTTATCCCTAATGGAATAAACCAAGTTTATAGTGGTTTTTTTTCTTTTTTCTTCTTCTTCATATAAGACATTTTTTCTCTCTCTGCAATCCATTGTTCCTTATTATAAATTTCTTTAGTTCCTTAAACAGTCTTTTGTAAATCCAACAAAGAGAAATTTTTCCAATTATTCTCTGAGATTCTCACTTTTATTTCCTTCTTGATTTTTAGAACCTCATCCAGTATATCTATTTATAGATTTTTATTCATAGTGTTCATATTCTCTTTAAGTAAATTTTATTCGATTTCTTGTTCTGTGAAATCTTCATTTGGTAACAGAAATGAAGCTCTCTAGAAAACACAATATAGGTTCAATTTCTTGGTTGAGATCTCTTTGCAGTTCTTCAAAGACGTCTTTGTCTTCAAAGATATATCAATGTAAATATCGATATAAAAATGTTCAGACTTTAGAAAGAGTATAGAGAAGAGCAACAAAGATGATTAGGGGACTGAAGGCTAAAACATATAAGGAACGGTTGCTGGAATTAGGTATGTCTAGTTTAATGAAGAGAAGGACGAGGAGGGACATGATAGCAGTGTTCCAATATCTCAGGGGCTGCCACAAAGAAGAGGGAGTCAAGCTATTTTCCAAAGCACCTGAAGGCAGGAGAAGAAGTAACGGATGGAAAGTAACCAAAGAGAGAAGCAACCTAGAACTAAGGAGAAATTTCCTGACAGTTAGAACAATTAATCAGTGGAATGCTCCATCATTGGAGGTTTTTAAGACGAGATTTGTATGGAATGGTATAGGGTTTCTTGCCTGAGCAGAGGGTTGGACTAGAAGACTCCAAGGTCTCCTCAAACTCTGTTATTCTGTTATTTATTCCCAAACATTGTTATAAATTGCTTATCTTTTAACTCCAAGCTCAAAAATAAATTTCCTTTTCTACAAACATACACTTCATTTTTTGAAAACTAATTTCAAAATCTTAATATTTAAAGTTCATATATTTAAAGTTTTTGAATCCTCAGAACTTTCTGTAGCCAAGACCTTACCTTTTGCTGTTTATTTTAAGTTCTTAAAAAATTAAGAGCACTCATTCTCCCAGTGTTTCCAATCATATCATTCTGAAGATCTTAAATCTATTAATAGGCATTCTATTTGATATACCTTGTTCTTGGTACAATTGCTTTTCTTGGGCAATTGTCTTCAGAAATTTCCTCTTCAGTCCCTGTTGCAGTGGAGTTGTCCTTCATCTCTAAGCTCTTCATCAGCGAAACATGTAAGCGAGGGCAAAAGAAGAAGTATGTTTTTAATATACATTTGAGTCCATGCTCACGAAGACTAAGTTTTAACTCAGTGCACAGCCTGCCATCTTGCCCTGAATTAGTTTTGGTTAGAGGACAGCGTCTCTGTTTTTCCAGTCTCAAAGGAGAAAAATTGCTATGGCATATTTAAAAAAGCCATCAAATAAAGTATGGCCCCAGACAATGATCCTTTTCAGGAGAATAGGCATTTCACATGTGACTATTGAAGCTGGGGATTAGCTGCTATAACCAAAACAAGACTTCTGCAGCAAGCCAAGATGACATCAAAATGACAACATGTCCGGTGACGTGACACAAATCTTCCCATTAGGTATTTGAGAGTCCCAGTGTCTGACACAAGTATGTAAATGACAGTAAGCTAAGTTAAATTTAATGCTTGTTGAAGTGTGATGTAACATTTCTCCTGTCTATCTTCAAAGAATTGACATGTACGCGGAAGGCACCATGGACCTGATGGGCCTTGTTTTGTACTACCCCTTTTCCTCACCTGAGCAAAAAGAGAAGCAACTTGCTGCCTTTATCGAAAAGGCCATGACCAGGTACCTCCCAGTCTATGAAAAGGTAGGCCCACCTGTGACATTTCTTCTAGCAGCTATCCCTTCATTAAGACAAGTGGTGGGGCCCTTTAAAGGACATTAACGTTGCAAGCCTCACTTTTTAATCACTTTTGGAAATTGCCTATTAACCACCTTAAAGGTATTAGAGACTTTTTGCTGATTGAAAAGTTGACATCTTGTGGGTTTGCTTATAGATAACAGATGAGATTTGTGATGAAGAAGTACCTGTTTGTAACCTTATAGGGGATGAAGAGTAACTAAATGATTTTATTATTTTCCTAGCTGATTTTGATTTCTGCCTCAGAATTTAAATAAGTGTGGCAATATATTCAAGGGGTCTTCTTTCTTCTTCTTTACTTCCAATTATTCTTCCATTTTTAGCATTTGATATGTGTACGTGCGTGTTTTATTGTACAGAGAAACTATTTTCTTTGGTCCCCATTGAACAACCATAGGATGCTTTTAGTAGATTATAAGTCATATTTCTTCTGAAGAGAGTAAATTAATGATTAAAAACTTTTGACACAGTTCCGTTAATGTATCTTTTGGTTCAGCTGTAAGGTTTTTATATTTTATAGGCTCTGGAACATCATAAGCAAGAGTTCCTAGATGGTAAATGCCTCAGCTTCGCAGATATACAATTGCTTGAAGCAATTTTAATGTTGGAAGAGAGAAAAGCTGATATTCTTGTGCCATTCCCTCAACTACAGGTAATCTAGTAGTGATTATCATGCCAGCTTTTACTCGCGTAATATAAATGTACATGTTGGTTCTGACTTATGCTGCCACTTAAGTCACAAGTGGGAGATCATAGGAACTGAAGTCCAGCAATGGGGATTTTTCTTGCCTCTATTTTTCGCATAGGAGGGAATTTTCTGAGTGGTTCAAGATCCTCTGCCAGAAGACTCTGGAAGGCCTACTTGAAATATCTGTGTATGACTGAAGGATTTATGATTTTTTTCTAAAATTGTTCATTCCCACCAGTGGATTTACAGGGTTGTTTAGGAACATAGCAGGAAAGGGCTTAATGTATCTCATCTCCCTTGACTTTCTTTTGTGCACCTTGAAGATGGGAACAAGGTGCTTGGATCATCACTTGTCTTTTAGATACAGCTCCCTCGTGACTAATACTGGCTGAAATAGATTTTTTTTTTGAAGATGGTAAATTATGCTTCTTTAATGCCTTTCTCAGCCAAAGGGTGGTGCCATCTTTGATGGAGGCAATTCTACTTCCATTGAAGAAATTATTGCCAGATCCCTCCCTTTTTATTAATTCTAGGGCAATTTCAAATGTGCCATTTCTGGCCAAGGTGGTGAAATGGATAGTGGCCAAGCAGCTCCAATGCTTTCAGATTCAACTGATATTCAATTTCAGGCTGGAGCATGGTGTGAGATGTCAACTGGTTATTTATTTATTTATTTATTTATTTATTAATTTAATTTATATCCCGCCCTTCTCCTTGCGGACTCAGGGCGGCTAACAACCAGATAAAAAAGCTAATCCCAAAAAACTACAGATTAAAAACATAATTAATTCCCCCCATGTTTCTGGCCTCGCTCCCAGCTGGGAAATCTGCCAGATTCCTCTCTCGCCCGGCTTGCCGGCTATCTCTTCCCCCCCCGGGGGATTTCCAGCATCCATGAGGCTGTCTTCAGACAATTTTCTTTTCTTCGCAGAATCTTTTCCAGAACCTCTCAAGATTAGAGGGAGTGGATGGAGTTCGGGACCCCAGATGGTTGTAAAAGGTGTTGAGTTACTCTGATTACTCTGTTACTCTGGTTGCTCTGACAATCTCTTGAGAGAGCACAGTGGTACCATTTCTCTGCTTAGGTTCCTGGATTGGCACCTTTGAATGACATTTACCATGGATTCCTTCCAAATTACCATGGAAAGTTGGAACCATAATCACAGGTCCTGTCTTATCTCAGGGGCAGATTTCAGATAGTGTTCTTGGCAGTCCTTGAGTTTTTATTCACCCTCCCCCTCTGAGCTTTTTTATATCTATGCGAATGGGTTGGGAATGATGACCAAAATGTACCAGGCTTTCTAGTGGGTGTCTGTTCACCTGGATTGCAGACTGCAGGAGTCGAGTAGACTAAAGCTGAATCCAAAAGATGCAGTGTACATGATAGGTGGGGGAGACTTAGTTCAAAGAGATGGGACCTTACTTGCAGTTTCTTCCTGCATTTCATTGGTGTAAACAGAGGTGTATCTTTGATATATTTATATTTGTACATGTTTTTGGAAATTATTTTATTTACAGAGAATGTGTGGTTTATATGTTCAACAGGGTAAATATTGTTTGTTTATTGCTTTAGGCTTTCAAAGCAAGGATAAGCTCTATTCCCACCATTAAGAAATTTCTAGAACCTGGAAGCCAAAGAAAACCAATCGTTGATGATGCTTATGTAGCTGTTGTGCTGAAGGTTCTTCAGCTGAATTTCTCGTAACATCATGTCTGGTTGCCAGAACATCAGATAATCAAGAAGATTTCCATGAGGCAACAAGAAACCCACTCCAACCTTTACAAGCTGTCCCAAAGGACTCCTTTTATTACTTAACCTCAGATGTTGATACATCTCCCACCCTGGTTTATATGCAATGATGTTTTGCCACAGAGCACTCCCCACCATTGTTTATCATGGCACAGTGCTGCCAGATGTGCTAAATGCATGGAGCTTACCTACCCCTCATCTGGGGGATAATTGAGAATCCTCTTTTTGTTTTCTAAAAGCAAAAGATTATCTGCTGGGACCAAAAACAATAAATGGCTTACTCTTTGGTGCAAATTCTTAAAGTGCATTAAATTTTTGCATTCAAACAATTTGACATAAAGACGTTTTTTCTTTCTCCCCAAAAATGACATTCATTCATTCATTCATTCATTCATTCATTCATTCATTCATTCATTCATTCATGTATCTTCCTTACAGGGATAGAATCATAGGACTGGAAGGAGCCATTGTGCTCAATACTAGAACTCAAATTGTTTGCTTAAAGTTATCCACCACCCACCTCCAGTGGATTCTGGAGTTTAAGCTTTGTTGATAAATGGCTGTGTGATCTCTGCATGAACATACAGTACCTAGCAAAGGGGAAGTGATTTTGGTGTTGAACAGCTCTTATTTTTAGAAAGTTTTTCTGGACCTTCAACTAGAATCTGCTTCCTATAGATAAGTGTGGGTGTTGGTGAGTATAATGTCATTTGATTCCAAAACTCATCAGCCCAGTTGACATAAATAGTAATTAGAACTGAATGGGAGCTATGCTTCATCTGTGAAGGGCCATGGGTTATCCATCACTGCTTTGAAAAGGATTTATCCCAATTTGACTCTTAAAACAAAGGTCAGGTCTGCTCAGAGCTCAGAGCAAATTAGTCTTGATCTTAAATCTGGTAAGTCTAAGAGGCATTGGTTAACATTACTAACTTAAAAATGAGTGTTTCCCAAACCAAATTCCACTGCAAAATTAATTTAATTGTGTTTAACATATATGATTCAAATCTGTTTCTAACTAATTATTTCAAAACGTTTTTTTGGGGGGGGCTGTTGGGTGCACATGGCAGATTGATATCATGAATAGGCATTCCTGGGTACCTCCTAGCCAGGTGTTTGCATGGAAAAATTTGCATGGAGGTCTTCCAATATTCTATTCAGAGTTGGGTAGCTGGATAAATATCTATCTCCAAAACCCAAGAAAGAAATGTTGAGACTCTTCTAAGCAGTGTCTTTTATTGTTGCTCAACTCTAGATAGCTATCTTGCCAAACTAAACTGATTTACTTGCACCATAAAAGATATACCCTGGGAACTATTAGGAAGGAGCCATCTTCACTCTCTTTCTCCCACACAAACCATGTAAACTGTGCTGCCTCTTGGACCTCTGGAATGCACTCCCTCTCTCCTGGGAATCCAGACAACATTCCATCACAATTTTCCATTGATAAGCATTTTGTATGGTGCCTTTTTTGTTGATTCCCTCTAATACTTGACATTGTTCCTTCTGAGGAGCTTATTGGTAAACTGAAATTCAAAGTAAAAAGGAAAGGGGCATCTTCAGGATTTTGAGAGCCTGTCCATCCTTGCCAAAGACCAACCAGCATAGAACCCATCCCATGGCATTTTGGTCAAGTGAGGAGGCTGCTCTGTGAAATGCTTTCTTGTGGCTGGAGAAACAAGCAGGCATTTGAGGCATGGAGCAAAACCCCAACATGCTTTTGTTACTTTTTTTTTTTACTTTTTATTTGGTTATTTTTCTTAATACTTTGGCCACATAATGAGAAAAGAGGACTCCTTGGAAAAGACCCTGATGTTAGGAAAGATTGAAGGCAAAAGGAGAAGGGGATGGAGATGGTTAGATGGTGTCATTGATGCAATGTCATTGATGCAATGAACATGAACGTGGGCAACCTCTGGAGACAGTGGAGGACAGGGGGCCTGGTGTGCTAAGGTCCATGGGGTCAACGAAGAACTGGACATGACTTAGCAGCTGAACGATAGCAACAAAGGTCCTACACTAGGCAAACATTTTAAGCAAACTCTTCACCAAACTGATCCTTCGCCAGCCAAAGGATCCTTTATATAGAGGGCTTTTCTCCATTTACCTGCCTATTGACTGAAGGAGGTTTAGAGGAGGTAGTACCCAAAAAACAAAACACTATGTGCCTTAAATACACCTGCCCAGACAGTTGCATAACCAAGCTGCATCATGCTCTGTGTGAGGGCCACTTTTCCCCAATATGGATTGACTTGAAAGTCAGTTGTTCCGCTGGGGAAAAGGCACTGAAATTGTTCTCTTGGCCACCAATGAAGTTCCTCCTCCATCTGGGCTGTTCCTTATCTCTCTTCGGTCAGAAGGTGGAGCTTGGGAGCTTTATATATTGAAGGTGCACGGAATACCTCACTTGCATTAAGAAGAGCCTGCGTTTACTGAGGCTTCTCAGCGGGTCAGTATTCGAAGGTAGAAACTTGAGGAGAAAGTGGTGGCAGGGGCAATTGTGTAACCTTAAAGTTTGTCTTCTTTTTGCTTATTGATTTAGTGGTGACTAATAAATCAGGATGGAAATGACTGCAAGATTCTTTTCTGAAAGTCCAGAGTTTGTGTTGGGGAAAAGAGCAGAAATATGTTGAGCAGGAGGAGGGATTTGTGAGAAATAAAAACTGTCATGAGTTCATGAGTCTTTGAAACTCACATGCCTTTCCATTTAGGTGAACAAACTTTTACTCTGTTAACCCTTTGAGTAGAATTGCACTAATAAAGACAGGTTGCAATCCTATGCCTGCTTATCTATGAGGTGGGGACATTGAACTCAGTAGAATTTCCTTTGGAGTAAACATATAGTTGATAATGCTAATATTTACTTGTCACTAGTCCAAAAGATAACCAGTTACTCCCAGTGGAATAGATGGGAGGGGAGAAAGAATAAATCATAATTTGAATATTTTAGGAAGAGAATGCTTTTATAGTTAGCTATGCTGGATTGGTCTTCAATTGTTGCAGGTGACAAAGTTTTACAACAGTGAAAATATCATCCCAATAGGAGTGGGGGGGAGATGGAAGAAATGACTATATGTTTCCTCCTACAGAGGCAGATTGTACTGTATATACACCTGCTCAAGATAGCATGCCTTAAAAAAAAAAGATGTTGCTATAAAATTGGTTTTTTGCTAAAACCAATGTATAAAGGAGCATTGTAAAATGTATATTGGTCTGCCTGAGGGTATCTGTATCCTCATAAGATTTATATTTATATATTTAATGTAGCAGGTGCCAGGCCCATAAAACCAATAAAGACAAATAGAGTTATTTCTAAACCGGTTCCTTTATTGTTCCTCGTCTATAGACAAATATTGCCAAATTAAAGCAACTACTTGCATCATTAAAGGTATACTCTGAGAATTGCTAGGAGGCGTCTTAACTCTCTTTCTCAAAGTCAAACTATCTAAACTTCATCATCTCTTATTCCTCTGGAATGCATTCCGTCGCTCCTGGGAATCCAGACCACATTCCACCATACAGGATAACAGTTTAGTAAGACCATGGCTGGAAAACCAAAGCTTCACTACTTCAAAGGAAGAGGGCGAATGGAAACCATAAGGTGGATGTTGGCTGCAGCTGGGATTGAGGTGAGTCTTCCAAACTCCTCTTAATTAATAATGTTTGTGTTGGAATCTATTGCTGCCAAGGTGGCTACATTTTAATTCTCAAATACAAATCTGTAATGAACAAATAAGTCATAAACTTCATGATTATGACATTGTGGAAATCCATATTTTTTTCCTAAAATGTATTAAGTAATTAACTTCCACTACTTGATCATCATTGTGTTTGTGGCTCATTTGTTGGGTTCCTACCTCATGCTAAACTATGTTTCCCTTAGTCATGGTCTGATTTAACCATAGTTGTCACAACTTAACTCAGTGAATCTAGCTATCCAATTTCCTCTTGGAGTATGGAGTTCCTTTTCTTACAAATCTCTGCCAGGGATGGTGGACATGGAGATGAATCTGGCACTTGCAATAATTTTGGAAGCCATAGAAATCTTTTATCTTTTCTGTTTACTAGTTTGAAGAACAATTCATTGACTCAAAAGAAGCACTACAAAAGTTAAAAAACGGTGAGCATATTACCTTGTGTTTGTGTGTGATATACAGCAAAACTGTCTCATAAGACTTTTGATCTAAATATTAAGCAAGTGACATCTTCTCACAAGTATAGGTAAAATATTGAAATTCCAAGCATGCCCTATAATGGAGGTGGGGAATAGTGGCCCCCTTTATGACTTGTGGACTTCAACTCCCAGAATTCCTGAGCCAGCATGGCTGGCTCAGGAATTCTGGAAGTTGAAGTCCACAAGTCATAAAAAGGACATCGTTCCTTACTCCTGAACTGTAAAATTCATCTCTACATCATCTGCCATGCTAATAATTGGAGAGAACCCTTCCATTAATGTGTCCTTTCCCATTTACCAGATGGATGTCTGCTTTTCCAGCAAGTGCCCATGGTGGAAATGGATGGGATGAAGCTGGTGCAAACACGAGCCATTCTCAATTACATCGCAGGAAAATACAACCTCTATGGGAAGGACCTGAAGGAGAGAGCACTGTAATGTAACATTTTATAACTGTTTGCTATACATAAGATAAGGAGGAATGGGCAATTCCTGGCAAATTATGAGAGCTGGAGTATGTTCTGCTGACATACTATGAGTCAGCAATTTTTGATTCTGAATCACCTCCAAGTAGGACAGAAGCCTTCTGCAAAAAGCAATACACCCTCTCAGTTAGAATGAAGTTCATTTGAACAAGATCATTAGTAGTCAGGGCATTTCTTGGCACTATTTAAACCTGGTAAACTAGGTCAATGCTCCTTTCTTAGGTTTTATCTACTTATTTGCTTCTAAAATGGTTTCCCCCCCCCTCTCTCTCTCTGGAGTTGTGCTTCACTGAAAAGATGGCTTTTGAAGATTTTGACGGCTAGTCTTTTTGATGGTCAAGGAGTATGGTTGGGTTGAGTACTTACTAAAGAACATCAGAATTTATAGGAAAGGAACTTTCATCTGGAAAATTCAGGATAAACAGGAACACGTTGCAAGTAGACTTCAGAATCAAGTAGTCCTTGACTTACAACAGTTTGTTTAGTGACCCTTCAAAGTTACAATGGCACTAAAAAAGTGACCTATGACCATTTTTCACAGTTACGACTATTGCAGCAATCCTATGGTCACGTGATCAAAATTCAGGCACCTGGTGTCAAGCCTGTCTTTATGAGATGGTTGCTGTGTCCCA